ATAATAATATAAAAAAATTTAAATAAAAATGTAAAATGTTTTTTTTTTCATTATAATTTTTGGTTATTAACTAATTTGTGTTATTTTCTTTTACTAAAAAGATAGATGAATACATTTTGGCCAAGATTTATGAAGACAGATTATTTACTTTGGACTTTTTATATATATATTATATATATATATATATATATATATATATATATATATATATATATATAGATATATATATATATTTGCTATATATATATATATATATAGCAAAAAAATAAAAATCCCAGTGGTGCATAAATACCACCAAAATAAGGTTTTATCTGTCTCAAAAAAGCAAAAAAATTCATATGGGTACAGCGTTGCATGACCGTGCAATTGTCATTCAAAGTGTGATAGCACTGAAAGCTGAAAATTGGCCTGGACAGGAAGGGGGTTAAAGTGTCCGGACTTGAAGTGGTTAAAACATGCAAGCTGGTGGTAGTAGGTTGTACGGTATGTTGCTATGGTAGCACTGGTGACAACAAAATAGGAGCACACAGTTAGCTGTATTACTTTTATGATCTTGCTTCACAAAGTCCTCACACTTCCTTGGTGTGTCATTGATAATTTTAGTATATATGTTATAGCCCAGTGAATCCGAATGACTGAAATATGGCAGGATTTGCTATAAAGCCACAACGACCTGACTGTAACCCCGTTTCCCAGAGGTAATCAGAAGAGGGATTTTCTATGACAAAGATGGAGAGTCATAGCGGGGTGAGCACTATTTCATCTAGCTGAAGCAAGTCTGCTGTTGTTTGTAAGGAAAACATGCTATTGACACTGCTGTTACTGCTAAGGATGAAAACAGCAATAAATATTGATTGCATGGCATTCTTTCAAAGCAAGGCTTTGCTTTGCATATATCCTCAGGTAAGCTTAATAATACATAAAGATGTTACTGTCTTCAAAAAGCCATGTCAGCACGTTTAGCTTTAAAACTGTACAATCTTTTTGCCGATTATGCCAAGAATTGCTCCTTCAAAAGTATTGCCCACATGGAAGATGATGCCAGACGCAGCAGTGCTTTCTTTCTTCTCTTTAAACTATTCTTTTTCCAAATAATATTTCTTGATCAAGCAAAAGACATTTTCCAGCTAGTATTCTTTGTGCTGTTATTTCTCATTTCTTAGAACTGAACTCCAAGCAGAAATAAAAGACACATATTCATGCAGCTACGTATTCGTTAATGCATCATTCATTTTTTCTTTTCAAAGAAACCCCAGTCACACGCAAGGAAAATTACAAAAAAAAACCCAGCATTTTTGCTTGCACATGATCGGATGATGGAAGACAGCAGAGTTTCACCTCATTCATTAAGCTCAACCCTGATGAGTCTAAGTACCTTGACTTATACAGCCTTGACTTGACAGACATTGTGCTGCATGCAGATGTGCGGACAAATAACATGCTGATAGGAGGAGAAAGCAGAGTGAGCAGAGAGTTGACCAAATCAGTCTGCAGGTGCTCTTTCATTGTCCATGCAGCAGGCTGTGGGTCACCACTGTATACCTTCTACAATTTTTAACTGTAAAAGAGCAAGGGGTGGCATCCATCTGGCTGTGCTTGAGAAAGCTATGTGTAATCAAAAATACAAATCCTTTCGCAAGTAAAAACTGCTTCATTATATGTATCTATATTAGTCTTGAATTCAACTTTAATTCACATACTGATCACTGACTCTGTTCCTTCATAACTGAAACATAGTAAACTGTGTTTACTGTGCTTCAGTTTGTGAATGAATGGGGAACTCTGTACGGAGCTATTCCTGTTCATTCATTCAGTGCAGCTGAGACTGCAGAGGTGGAGATTGAAGGCTGTATCCTCAATCTCCTTTCTCTGTCTCAAAGGTGAAACATCACAGGAGAGAATTCAACTTTAATTCACATACTGATCACTTACTCTGTCCATTCATAACTGAAACATAGTAAACTGTGTTTACTGTAATTCAGTTTGTGAATGATTGGGGAACTCTGTACAGAGCTATTCCTGTTCATTCATTCAGTGCAGCTGAGGCTGCAGAGGTGGAGATTGAGGGTTATACCCTCAATCTCCTTTCTCTGTCTCAAAGGTGAAACATCACAGGACAGAATTCAACATAAATTCACATACTGATCACTGACTCTGTTCCTTCATAACTGAAACATAGTAAACTGTGTTTACTGTGCTTCAGTTTGTGAATGAACAGGAAACTCTGTACAGAGCTATTCCTGTCCATTCATTCAGTGCAGCTGATGCTGCAGAGAAGGAGATTGAGGGCTGTGTCCTCAATCTTCTTTCTCTGTCTCAAAGGTGGAACATCAGATGTCTATTTAGACCCCTGATATCTATCTTACCTGGTTATTGAGCTACTGTATTGGTCTTGAATTCAACTTTAATTCACATACTGATCACTGGCTCTGTCCATTCATAACTGAAACATAGTAAACTGTGTTTACTGTGCTTCAGTTTGTGAATGAACAGGAAACTCTGTACAGAGCTATTCCTGTTCATTCATTAAGAGCAGCTAAAGCTGCAGAGACGGATATAGAGGGCTGTGTCCTCAATCTCCTTTCTCGGTCTCAAAGGTGAAACATCACAGGAGAGAATTCAACTTTAATTCACATACTGATCATTGACTCTGTCCATTCATAACTGAAACATAATAAGCTGTGTTTACTGTGCTTCAGTTTGTGAATGAACAGGAAACTCTGTACAGAGCTATTCCTGTCCATTCATTCAGTGCAGCTGAGGCTGCAGAGAAGGAGATTGAGTGCTGTGTCCTCAATCTTCTTTCTCTGTCTCAAAGGTGGAACATCAGATGTCTATTTAGACCCCTGATATCTCACCAATGCCCCCCCCAATCGGGCTCATAAAAAATGTAAAAAATAATAAAAAAGAATATTGTAAAGAAAATGATAAAAAAAAGATAAAAAAATAAAATACAAAAAATAAAAAAAAACTACACCCAGTGGCAAGATGACCAGGGTCACAAAGGTAGCACTTGCAATGTGATCCGCCATCTGGCTTGGAGGGAAGGGTTCTGGCCAGGGGTCAGGGGGCCCTTCATGGCTTTTTGCACCCGGCTTCTGAAAGTTCTGTTTATACCACTGACATGGCAAGATGGGAAAAATTACAGGGGGGGGGGGGGGGGGGGGGGCTCTTGTTCTGCTGATAGTTGTCAAAGAGGTGATTTCCCTTACTTTGCAGAGAGATTTCATTCAAAGACAAGAAGCAAGTTGATGTCCCCCAACGGGACATGAAAGGCAATAAAACCTGACAGGAGTCTCAAACATTTCCTAGTTTATCCAGAATGAGAAACAAAACATTTTGGATTTACACACATTTTAAGAGAATGTAGCATTGAATGATATCTCAGTGAAGCTCTTGGATAATTACCATGACTTTCAGTTAAAGGTATTTATTATTTAGACGTATGCAATGGAAGGTCTGGCAAATAATTATCATACTATTTTTTCTATCAAAATGCATGAATAAAGGTATAGTGCTTCTGGAACAATCCGAAAAATGAAATGTTAATTGATATTCAAAAAATATACCAGAGGTGCTGTGTTGTGAAACCTTGCTCCCTTTTTATCAAGGTGTCACAGCAGGTGCAAAAGCTGCTCTAAGCTTCAAGAACTCACAGGATCTTTCAGTGTGGGACACAATTAAAAATCACAGCATTTCTCCCAAATGACCCCCCGCCCCCCCAGCCAATGAGGTTGCAAGACTCTATCATTTAATTTACAGAAAATTTTAAAGATCTACTCTAGGCAGGAAAGAATATTATAGGAGGACACACTGCAGGGGCTAAATGCATGTTGAGTCTTGGACTAAAGGAATAAGGTGTAATACCTACCTTACTCAGCAGGTTTCCTCCATCTGTATGATTGGTCCATCAAAGCCTCTTCTGTCTCTTCACTAATGATGTCATATAGTACTATGTAGGGTCAATGGACATGAATTGTAAGTGAGGATGTCAAGGACCCTCTCACAACCCGCAGTATTGAAGACAAGAGGATAGGGGCAGTGCCTGCCAAGGAAGTACGTATCATGCCTTATTCCTCTATCCCTAGACTTAAAAAGCATTTAACCCTTTAAGATTTTACATGCAACTAAAACTATAACATGAGCCAATAAGAGACTCTGTCACTAGGGATAAGGGGCAAATTAATACAGGCATGATTTGAAGGTACTTGATAGTGTTTGCACATGCCTGCAGCAGCCTCCAAAGCCTTTCTGCCCTGGCTGAGTCTCAGGCGTTTTGACAAGCAAATCTTCTGAGACCCAAAGAGAAAAGCTAAACCTTACTTTTAAACATAAAAAGCCTGTTAAAACATTTACGAAAATAAATACTCAGTGATAATGTCCATATGTTTTGTATATTAATCAGTACCTGCTTTTTGAAACTCTTCAGACAATTGGCTATGGAACCAATACCAATGCACTACTATATTTGGCACTGTCTGAGAAAGTAGTCTATAAATTCTACACCCACACCAAACCAGTTATCATCATGGCACTGCACTTTTGATTGCTGAGTGATTTAAAAATAATCTTTTCTGGATACAGATGCCACACAGTTCCTGTAAACAACTGCTAATCTTCAAATACATTTCTGAGTTCTTGCTGAGCCTCTAAATCCTAGGCCCCTGTTGCCTTGGCCTGGACTTCTTGCCAATTTTAAAACTAAGCCTCTCTACCACCATACATAGCATAAAACATCTAAAATGTGTTTTATCTAAAAATTATGATTGTATTCCCTGCAGTTACCTGTTTTAATATTTATACTGGATCTCTGTTAATGACTTTCCAAAATTAAGCAAAAAAGTTTGGTATGAAATGACTAATTTACAGGCTGTGGCACAAGTGATCCCTGCCTAAGCAGTCAACACAAAAATGCTTTATAAGACCAAATACTAAGCTTACCTTGTGGTAACAATGCCCTAATTAATAAATATGTAAAGAGAATAAATTTGAATTCTTACTGGAAAAAGGATCCAGTGTTACTTCAATGGTTTTATTTTTGAATTCTGACTTCAGGACTCCCGTATAAAATACAACATGTCCAGTTAGATAGGCTGATACTGTATACCGATTGGAACTTTGATTCTTGAATGTTAAAATGACTTTGAAGTCACTGCCAAATACTGCATTATCTTCCTGAAAGTCTATTGTAGTGTCATGCTCGGTGAGTAGCTGTAGCTCGTCTCGGATTTCTTTTTTGACACCGTACATGAGAGCTGCTTCAAGTGCCAGTCTCTCCTCTTCACAGCCTGGTGGAGAAGAGAATAAAAAAAGAAAACCATTACTGAACTGATTTAATAGTAAAGGATATATATTTATTAAGGGTTTGGTACTAATGAAACACAGTCATAGCTAAGCATGGCCTTACAAGGCTCTGTTGACTTGAATATGTAGTTGTGGGTAATTAGTAATGCATATGTAATCAACAGCTGCATGATCTATAATTCTTTTTTGTATTAATGACGTACACCTAGCAATATTAAAATGTTTCTTCAGTGCCCATATGAACATGGGACAAGAGGTAAGGCGGCTTATAAAGCGTAAGCACATATTTGCTTGCTTTCTTTATGATAGAAAATGTCCTGTGCTAGACTGGACAAAATAATAGCACTCGTAAAAATACTATCAATACTGTAATAAAACACTATGCCCATGTTGCTTATTCACACAAAATAGTAAAGTAGCTTCTAGGCACATTTAACAAGGTCCTTTGGAGGAACTTTAAATAAAACTCAGTATCTGCATAAACCTGTAAGATAGGCCTCCAATTGCACCACACCTGTTTAGGAATGACTGCACAGCTAGCTGCAGACTCAGTCTTGAATATACAGCTAGTTTATTGACACTAAGGAGGACATAATAAGGGGCACCATACTTAAGCTTGGCATCTACCCAGTCTGCATTTTGAGCAGAATGATTACCTTGAAGGAACTTGCATCCCCACCAGTTGCTATGACTGTCATAAGGACGAAACAATAATGTCCCAAAGTTCTTCAATTGGAAGAGAGAGGGTTGAAAGTTTGCTTGATGCCAACTATGCTATGGCTGGTCAGCTTCCTTCCCCCTCCGGACTAGGGGCGGACTGACAACTCATGGGGCCCCCGGGCAATAGGGGATCATGGGGCCCCTGTGTCCTTGCCCAAACTCAAAAAAGCCTATGAAAAAGGTACCAGGGGCATCTCAGGGGCCCCCTACTGACCCCGGGCCCTCGGGCAGTGCCCGAGTTTCCAAATGGTCAGTCCGCCCCTGGTCCTGCAAGACTTTGAAGCGTTGCCTTGCTGTAACTATGTGATCGTTCATTAAAACATTTGGACCCATATTGGTGATCCTCGGTGTGCTGGTGACATTCTCCCTTGCTGATTCTGTTCGGTTCCAGCCAACGGTCACTGCAGCACCCACTTATACACACAGTGCCCGAGTTTCCAAATGGCCAGTCCACCCCTGCTCCAGACCATCCCTCGGAAAACCCCTCCTTGTATTTCTCTGTTACAACGAATTGGATAAATAACACATATATTGTGTGTTTTTACTTCCAAAACTGTTTAACCCTTTCACACCTAAGGGTAAAACAAATCTTAAAGCCTAAGTAAAATTTTACAACTTTGACATGTGTTAGTAAAACTATACATATCATCACAACTACTTTGTACATCCAGGTGCATTATACCTTGTTTTTTTCAGGACAAATTGGGCTTTCATTTTGTGGTAAATGGTAATGGATATCTGCTGATTTTTGTTTTTTATTATTATCAGCTTTTTTTTTAAATTTAGCTGTGTGTTTCTTCTTATTACCATAACCTACAATCAAAGAACAACCCAAAATACATTTTCCAGCTCTTGACGATCGCAGTGATACCACATATGTGTATGTTATTTGTTGTTTGCACCTGTACTACAGCCCAGAAACAATAATGCGCATTTTGTTTTTTGTTTTCTTTTTTTATCTAAAAAACACACTGACACTAACTGACACTGATACCAATTAAAAAAAAAAAAAAATACTGACCTTTGCCCTGACCTTTGACCTTGACTTTTGACCCTGACCTTGACCCAAACACTAACCCTGGCACTGAACTAGATCAAACCTTGATAAATATTTATTTATCTTTTTTTTTTTTTTTTTACAAAGTTTTTTTTTCTCTGCAAGGAGATAGAGAGATACAATGTATCTCTCTCCTCCATTTAGTGAGAAAAAAAAACAAGGGGGGTGGGCGTCACAGTGACAGATCCCTTTATAGCCAATTAGAGGCTATCACAGCAATCATGTGACCAGGAATTGGGAGTCCCAGGTCCCGATCGTTAGAACGGGAACCAGGGCTCTCAGTGACACCCCGGTCTTTGTGCTAGGAGCGCGCTGTGCGGCGCACTCCTAGCACAAAGACAGGTATGCAAATATGCGTCCCCATGGAAAAAGCCCAGTTCGGTGAGGCCACATATGTGTGTGCCGTCGGCTGGAAGGGGTTAACCAATCTGTTTGCCAAAACCCGTTAATGTTATGTAGACCCTGTTCCTTTAGCCTTTTCATGCTCTGAGCCTATCATTATTTTTTAGCTTGATTATTTTATTATTTAATATTGTTGAACTTATAGTAACTGAAAGCTTCCATTCAGTTATGTTTTTACTATTCTGCCTGCAGACAAGCAGTAATTAATCAGTGTAGCATACAAAATATTAAATTTAAAGAATATTTTCTGCTACAACTTAGCCATCTGGCCTGAAAAAATATATGGGCTGATGAATGTTGCCTTGAAGTCGGTTTTATGTGTATTTCGTGATGTGTTTTACCAAAGGCAAAATCAAGCTACCAAGCATGTAAATCTAACAGGATCCCATCATACAACAATGCTTAATGGTCCCATTCAACCCTTGCTTGGTTAACATTTATGTTTAAGGGGTCTATGTATAAAAATATTTGTTTTGAGTCTCAACATTTGTGTAAGCATAACAAAAATACCTGTAATATTTATAATATGTGCGTAATAGTTTCCTTGTTGTCTTTCACTGGGCAAATGTAACGCTCCCTAATATTTAATTCTAACAAAAAGAAAAAGTTCTAAGAAGATTCAGCAATAGAGAAAATAGCCTAACATTATAGGCAAAGAACATTTGACCAGCAGGTGAAATATTATGAGGAAGACCTCTGCACTGTGAACAGTCAATGGAGATTCCTGTGTGAACAGTTGAATGAATGGGTGATCGGCCAACAAAACGCCAGCTGCAGTGTAAAGGGAAATATTTATTAGTGATATCATTACCACTACTAAATGTGATGACGTCCTCCTGGTTGTTAGGCAGCTGGCAAAAAAAAAAGGATGCCCCCTCCTCAATCCATACCAGACCTTTATTTAAGCACACAGTCTCTTTGGCCAAGAAAGGGGGTAGATAAGTGTGTGCCCCCTCCCTGAACCATACCAGGCCACATGCTATCAACATGAGGAGTTACCTTGCCAGGAGGAACCCTTGGTAAAGCACCTTGTCTCCTTGTTGATGAGATCAAATCTTCCTCCCCACAACCCTGTCTTACTGGTTGTGGGGATCTGCTGGCAGGGAGCTTATCAGAATGTGGAAGCCTTTACAAAAGGGGGGGCTCTCATAATCTGCCCCCATGTGAGTGCCAAACGGCCACAGATTCATTGAATAAAAAACCCCAGCTAACTGGAAACTGGTCTGAGTCCATTGCTTGACTCATATCGAATGCCATCTCCCAGTCCAATTTCCTGGCAGTATAAGCAAAGGGACAGTATGAAGTCATTGACCATATAGTATATGTACATGACCATATTTGCTGATTGATGTCACATGATAAGGGCTGTGCCTAATGCAAAACATGTCAGAAAACAACTCGGTCTTGCCGACTATTTTAATAAAAGAGGATATTTTGCATCTTGATGTGCAGCGTTCCTGTTGCTGATACAGTTGATTGCTTTGTTGCAGACAAGCCAAGCCAGCACCTGACATGCGATTGTGCAGTGTTGAGCTTGACCTCCCCCAGAGGGCTATGTGAAATATTTGCGTTTATATACTGTTTAGTTTTATATTCAGGGGCGTAGAGTTTAAGTTTGGATTCAGGGCTGATTTGGCTACCATTTTTTTAAAATTTCCTTAGTGCTGACACTATTTACACCATAATATACAGTGTGGAAAAAATTGCACTGAAAATTAGAGTACCCTTTATAAATACAATTTTGTCAGGCAGAATTTCCTAAAGAATAGCACACTAAACAAAATTATCATTGTTGTATAGCTATACTTTGAACAAATTATATTTGTTTATATTATATGTGTATATAATATATACCATATATTTATATATAAATATTATAAACATTAATTACATTATTACATTGAAACAAAATAATTTCAAATGATATACAGAAAGAAATTTGTAAAGCACTAACATCTTGATAAGAATATTCAGAGTAAAGTGACTGATAGGTAGATATAAAAATATTAAAGGTCTATAAATTCCCTATAACTTTCATTGTATTTTTTATACAAAGTGTCATTTCCCATAAAACTCCTACCTATGATCTATATACTACCAATATGAATACATTTTAGGCACAAGCCAGTCACAATAATGATATACACTACATGGCTTTGTGTTTCTTATGAACTAGGACTGTGTGTGACAGTTTCTCCTTTCTTGTTCGATGTCATTGCTCTACTCTTCTGTTAACTGCTTGGTTTTCTTTCTACAACCTTTCCTTGCATGCATCCTCTTGGGATCCAGTAACTAAGCAACCGCACAGTACTCACACTACAAGTCTCCCAGGGATTGCATGGCAAATAGACCTCCCATTAAATATTGAAAAACCTTAATGGTGATCACTGACATGCTTTCTTTTACTGGACTTTTTTCCAATTTCCTTTCCCTTTTACTTTCATTCCAAAACTGCTATTAATGTTAAAATATTTACTGAACTGTCTACTTGCAGATTTAAACAAGTAAAAGACATAATCATAGTAATATTTCCAGTCTTGTCAGTGCAAATTATTTTTAATCACAAACATACAGCTTTGGTGTGACACGGTTGTAACGTGGGGTTTTTAAAGTCTTTGTTCCTTTATCTAATATGCTAGATTTTTTTCATCAGATGTCCTATTAGATTCGTAGATTATAAAGGGAAGGTTCCGTACACATACTGTATTTAGCAATGAGCTGAAAAATAACACAGCTATTTAGGGCTACATGAAGGCTGTATACTATAATTAATAATTATCCTATTGATTTTTCCATGTTTGCTTT